AAAAAAAAAAAAAAATCGATTCCCATCCACCCTTTTCTCTCTAATGCGATCGTTTTCTTTAATTGCAGACGGAGCCCATGTCTGACCTCGTTTCCTGCTTCTTTGGTTTCGCCCTAGCTATGTTAATCCTCCGCATGCTCAAGAACTCCCATTATAATGCTGTAAGCTCACTGCTCTTCACTTCGTCATGCTGTGTCTTATCAGGAAATGCATCGACTTTGGGGGCAGCTCAAGTTTTGCTTTTTCGGTTCTCATTTTCTACTGATTCGAGTATTAGCAGTTTTTATGGATTTTTCAATAGGGAGAAAGTTAGGCAAATTATAAAAGAGGATAGGTGGGACGATTTTCAGCTGTTGAGGTTATTTGAATCGAAGTTGGCCCCCGTTTGGGTGTCCAAGATGTTGATAGAGCTGAAAAATGATCCTGCATTGGCTTTCAAATTGTTCCGGTGGGCCGAATCACGAAATGGGTTTTGTCACACGACCGAGAATTTCTGCTTGATTGCTCACATTTTGTTCTGTTCGAGAATGTACTCGGATGCCCACAATGTTCTAACACGACTAGTTACTCGACATAAAAATAGTGAAAATGGCACTGAATTTTTTTCTTGGTCTACTGTCCTTGATGTTCTTTGGTCGACCCGAAACGTTTGCTTTCCTAATTACGGTGTATTTGATATGTTATTTACCGTATTTGTCGAGTTGGGGTTGCTAGAGGAAGCTAGGGAGTGTTTCTTGGATATGAGAAAATTCAGAGTTATTCCGAAACTGTGGTCTTGTAATATTCTTCTGCAGAAATTTTCGAAAGCAGAAAAAGGGGCCTCAGCAAAAAAATTCTTTAGTGATATGGTTGGGGCTGGAATTAGCCCTTCGATTTATACTTATAACATAATGATTGGTGTTTTGTGTAAAGAAAGGGATTTAAAAGGAGCAAGAAGCTTGTTTGCTGGGATGAAGGAATTAGGCATAACACCCGATATTGTTACTTATAATTCTCTTATAGATGGTTATGGAAAAATCGGCCAACTGTGTGAAGCGGTTTGTATATACGAGGAGATGAAATCGGCGAACTGCTCTCCCGACATAATTACGTACAATACATTGATTAACTGTTTCTGTAAACACGAGAATTTGCAGAAGGCCTTCGAATACTTTAGGGAGATGAAGGAAAGGTTTATGATTAGTCCGAATGTTGTGACTTACAGCACGTTGATCGATGCTTTTTGCAAAGAAGGAATGTTAAATCATGCTATTAAGTTTTTTGTGGATATGAGGCGAGTAGGACTTATTCCTAATGAATTCACATATACTTCTCTTATCGATGCTAGTTTTAAGGCGGGAAATGCAGATAATGCCGTTAAATTCGTCAAGGAGATGCTTGAAGCTGCTGTAAGGTTAAATATTGTTACATATACGGCTTTAATCGATGGTTTATGTGAAGGGGGGAAAATGAAGGAAGCCGAAGAGATTTTTGAGGTTACGATCCGAGAAGGGTTAGTAGCTAACGAGAAAATATACACGGCTCTCATGCATGGATACATTAAATCCGGAAAAATAGACGATGCGTTGAGGATTATGGGGAAAATGAAAGAAAATAACATCAGACCCGATTTAGTTTTCTACGGGACTTTAGTTTGGGGGCTTTGTAATGCGAGGAGATTCGAAGAGGTCAACTCGTTGTTGGACGAAATGAAGGAAAATGAATTCGAGGCTAGCGAAGTAATTTACACTACGCTTATAGATTCATATTTCAAGTCGGGAAAAGTTGCTGAGGCACGAAATCTGCTCGGCGAAATGCAGGAAAAAGGCGTGGGCCCCACAGCCGTGACTTACGGCTCGTTGATTAACGGTTTGTGCAGCTCGGGACGTGTCGAGGAGGCAATTGGTTATTTTAATAGTATGAAAAGTTGTGGTTTGTTGCAGCCTAATGTTGTGATTTACACGTCGTTAGTTCATGGGCTCTGCAAAAACGAACGCGTAGAGGATGCTAAAAAGATTTTCTCGGAAATGACTGAAAAGGGCTTGATCCTTGATGTAATTGCTTACACGTCGTTGATTATGGGGACTGTAAAGCAAGGAGATTTTCAGGAGGCTTTCGAACTTGTAAAGAGAATGAGTGAAGATGGGTTGGAGTTGGATCTTCATGCATACACGTGTTTGATTTCGGGCCTCTCGAAATGCGGTCGGGTTAAGGAAGCAAGGGATTTGCTTACTGAGATGATCGAAAAGGGAATCGAGCCGGATGAAGTTGTTTATGGCTGTCTTGTTCATAAGTATAACGAGCTTGGCGAGAGGGAAAAAAGCGAGGCCTTGCTGAACGAGATGGTGGGGAGAGGTCTTAGCCCTATTAAAATTTAAAATCGAGTTGTGGCGAACGATTTTCAAACGTGATTTTTGGCCTCTAATTCTGAAATTTAGGTTTTTTGACCCGATCGGAGCACGAAATATGAGACTGAGAGAACCTCGATTTTCCGATTGCTGTGAGTGGTACGCGTTTAATATCATTTCTCACGCACACTGCTCAAATTTGAGGTCACCAGAGGGTTTTTTTTTTTTCCAAATTAGTCTAATGCTGGGGTTGGCTTTTGTATTCATACCTTGAATATCATTTACTTATTCGCTTTTCCGAAGAAAACAAAATATTGCATGTTTTTCATCAAAACCTTGATCTTTTGTCACTCAATGCAGCAAAAATCCTAGGAATTTGCTCCTCTTTTATGCAGAGTATTATGGAGAAAGAAACATGGCCAAACCTCTAATGGTCGACTCAACTGCAACTACCATCATCGGTGAGTTTTTTTTTATTTTTTTTCGATTTAGCAAACTCGGGCAAATTGCGAAATGATTCTTTTTTTTTTTGGCTTAAATTTGATTGGAACTATGCATTTGTGTAGTTAATACGATTCCTATAGTTCATCATTAACTTTTGTATTATTACAGGCTCAAGTGGTCGAAGGTCCGGTTTTACTCGTCTGCACGAGTCTATTCCGATTGAAGGATGGTTTCGATGTGTCGAGCAAAAATCAACTGAAACTCCATAAGCCACCGAACATACAGACACTGATTCTGAATCTATTTTGTTCTTTCTTTCTTTGTTTAGGTTAGGATAGGAATACAGAGAGATTTACAGTAAATGTGTAGCCAATCATGTGTTCTCTATGGTGTATTGTGCTCTTAACTGCTAATTCATTCATGATCAGAGTCTACCTTTCTATCATGTATATAGATTAAGCAGTGATTTTCACATGAACACTCACTTGGCTATGATATACATGTATCACTAAGCCATTTTGCAGCAAATATATATAAGATTTTTTTTTTTTTTTT